TGGAAACCTTATATAAGATTGTTACGAGTTGGAACCACTTGACAGCAGTTAACAACAACAACAACAATGTGATGGCTACAGACTCTTGGTGTGGTGCTGTAGGATCAGCACTGGACTGTGAACCACCAAGTCAGAGTTCAAACCTACCCGCTGCTCCCTGAAAACAGTATTCAGGGTCAGTATGAGTCAGAACCACTCAACGGCACTTAACAACAACAATGTGATAGCTGTTATTGCACTGTAGGATAAACACTGGACCACAAGGTTGGTTTGAACCACAAGACTGGTGGTTCAAGCTTACCAGATGCTCCTTGAAAACCCTATAAAGGGTCATCGCTATGAGCTGGGACTGACTTGATGGCACTAACAACAACAACGTGATGGGTGGAACTGCAGTTGTCTTAGTAGAGCGAGACCAAATGATTTCATGGGCCTTCAATGGCCCGTGGGCCAGATGTTTTCCTATCCCTGCTATACAGGGTTGCTATGAGTTAACAACAAATACTTTCTCCCACGCCTCACAACTGTCATCTATCTGTGATTTGGTTCAATGTACCTGTACGGATGTGTGCTTGTTTAATCGTAAAAAATTTTATATTTTTACATGGTCAAATTTGTACTCTTTTCTAAACTTTACAGTTCTTGGATTTTGAGTTATTTTAATCAGACCTTCCCTACTGCAAAATTAAAATTCTCCTCCAAGTTTTCTTTTGCTGCTTTTGTGATTTTAATTCTACATTTGAATCCTTCATCTCTGTGGATTTTATTTGGATAATGAATACAACTCAAGTTGTCTTTTTCTTTTTCTAAATGGCTTCTCAAGCATTCCAAGACAATGAAATGAAAATCTATTTTTTCTTCAGTGATATGCAATGTTTTATATTTAGATTGTCAAAAATAGTAACCAGGGTATTTCTTGCTTAATAGTGCTTAATACTGAAAAGTAACAGTTGGCTTTTAATATATTTTTAAATTTAGCAATGATAGCATTTAAAAATGAGAAAAATTAGTCTTAGAAATACAGATGGTAGGAGATAAACTAACATGCTGCTTCTAGGTAGTGGCATTGAGGACAGTTTAAGAAAAGTAGTATTTTCCAAACCTATACTAAGCATATCTCATCATCAGCAAAAAAGAAGTTTATATATGGGAAGCATATCAATATGAAATAGAAATGATATAAATCTAAACGACAGCTATAGATTTTATCTTCCACTTTACTGTTAACAGCAAGTATTCACTGTTGTTGTTGTTGTTGTTAAGTGCCATCGAGTTGGTTCCGAATCTCAGTGATCCGAGAAGCGACTGGTGGGTTTGAACCACTGACCTTGCGGTTCAAACTGACCTTGCAGTCTAATGCTTATCCTACTGCACCACACCAGGACTTCAAGTATTCCTTAAGACTCTTAAATAGAGGTAAGAGTAGATAGTAGTAGGAATCTTCTTAACTTTATAGAAATATTTTTGATAATAGACATGGTCTAATGAAGTCATCCTATTCACTGCTTTATGGAAGAAAAGTTAAAACATGTGATTTTCGTAAAAGATCTCACTTTACAAGGCAAAATTTTATGACCTTGACATATTTTTCTAAGCTGGTGTTAAAAAACAGAAAGAAAGAACAAGAGAGAATATTTTTTTTAAAATGAAGATAAATCATAAAACTAGATTCCAGAAATTTTCTGCAGCAAAAATATTAGAACATTTCCATTAAAAATGAACACAAATTAATCAATCATTCTAAAGATCAATCTAGGAAGAAAACTAAGCAGCAGTAAAAGATGTAGCAACGAAATATTAAAAGTTCACAATTTTCTTTTACCTGTTTTCATGAATCCTGGATGTTCAGCAATGTTTGAACTGTTTAGTAGCTTCACAGCTTTTCGATAATTGCCTCTTAAGTACTCAAAATTGCTTTTAAGAAACAGAGAGGGTGCAGACTGTAAAGAAAATATAAGTTACTTACACTTTGCTTTCCTATGCCTCAAACGAGATCATAATTGTACTAGTGCTCTGGCTTGCATTCACTAGCATAAATTAGTCAGTTAAGTCATGGTCACAAAAAACAAAAATACACAACACTCAATCCTACAGTTGTTATTTTTCATTGCTCCTGTAATCTAAAAAAAAAAGGAAGAATAAAACCTGCCAGATATCTATCTTATAAAAACAAAAAACAATATATATATACATCTAGGTGTAGGGATAATCTGTATAATATTAACTATCTTCATCTTTAAAACTGGAAGACAATTTAACAGCACATATTAGTTCCTTCTCTAGACTTCAGTCGGTCTGAACTGCAAGGTCGGCGGTTCAAGCTCACCAGTCGCTCCTTGTAAACCCTCTAGAGGGTCGCTATGTGTCGGAACCAACTCGTCCGCACTTAACAACAACAACATTAGGTTTTTCATTCTAATAGTTCTTGGTGGTGGTGATGATTATATGCCATGGAATCGATTCTGACTCATTGTGATCCTGCATAGGGTTTCTGAGGCTGTAAATCTTTATGGGAGCAGAAAGCCTCATCTTTCTCCCGTGAACGGCTGGTAGTTTCAAACTGCGGCCCTTAAGGTTAGCAGCCTGACTAGTAACCACTATGGTACCTGGTGATAGTCCCTATTTTTAGGATACACATGCACATTCATTTGGACCCAAAGAGATATGAATGAGTAAATACTTAAGTTTCATTCCACAAAGAATTCTAACAGGATGTGTTAGAGCTGTGGCACTGTGGGTTAATGTGCTGGACTGCAAAGTTGGTTTGAACTACAAGGTTGATGGTTGAAGCTCACTAGCCTCTCCTCAGAGACCCTATACAGGGTTGCTATGGGTAGGAAATCAACTCGATGGCACTTAACAACAACAATCTTATTACAAACAGCATGCTAGATCACCTTTCATGTCCATGAGTCATCACAGTAGTTGGTGCTGTTGTTAAGTGCTGCCAAGTCGGTTCCGACTCATAGCAACCTTGTATAGGGTTTTTGAGGAGCAGCTGGCGGGTTTGAATCGCCCTTATGGTCAGCAGTCCCATACTTATCCTACAGTGCCATCCCAGTACCAAGAATCCTACTTAGAGTACAAAGATGTGTAGAGATCTGGGGACTAAACATTTACCCAGGAGGATAACTGAAATCCGGACTCATTATTTATTCATTGTAATTTGGCAACCTGCTTTCTTTCTAAATCCTAGTTCATCATTTGCTCTGCCTACTGTCCACCACAGTTCTTTAGGTCACTGAGGAAACTGGGTCATTTAAGAGTTATTACAGGTGGCAGTACTCCTTCGTTGATTCAGGTATGAGGATTTCACTGCTTTACAATTATTTCCCTGTTGTCTCTCCCTATGACTGTGACCTTTATTCTTTTTTATTGTTGTTTAAATTATTACTATTATTCAATGTTTTATTGTGAATTATGTGACAGCTTACATGGGAGAACATTAGTTTTACATTCATCCTATTGTATATCGTTTCATTGTTATGGTTACAATCCCCTCCATGCACCATCAACCAACCAAAGGGTATACCCTACAAGCCTACCCACGCCCCCCCCACCCCACCCCCCAGGTCATCAGCACATAGCCCCTCTCCCTCTCTGTGTCTAAAGGCCCCAAATGCTCCATCTCTCCACGTTATCATCTCTGCCTCAATCTCAGGCATCACTGCTTCTCTGAGTAGGGTCCCGTTCTCCGCTCTTCTCCCTGACTGTGACCCTCTTTTGATGGCACTTTAACAACAAGGCAGGGATTATATCCTTTCCTTCACTGTATAAAAGGTATGATAATGGCCTGGCCTCTCCCTCTTAGCCTCCTTCAGGTGTTCCACGCCCTCAGGTCTAGGCCACAACTTTTCTCCACAATAATTTACTTGAGTACTGACCCACTGGCTAATCTGACGTTTCCCTAAGATTTCTAGCATCGATTTACCTGAGTTATTCCTACTAAAACCTGCATTTTCTCATTTCATACTTAAAATCAGTTTTCCTAAAAAGGATCATGATCATTCATAATTACCTTAGTTTTCTATCTAAACCCCAAACACACTGCCATTTCCAACTCACATTATTGCTTTTTCACCGACCTTCAACTTTACCAAGCAAAATGTTCTTCTCCAGGAACTGGTCCCTTTTAATGACATGTCCAAATATACAAGACAAAGTCTCTATCTTCCCTTTTAAGGAACATTCTGGCTGTACATCTTCTAAGATAGATTATTCATTCTTCTGGTAGTCCATGGTATTAATATACCAATATTCTTCACTGACACCGTAACTCAAATGCATCAATTCTTCTTCAGTCTTCCTTATCCATTGCCCAGCTCTTGCACATATATGAGGTGAATGAAAATACCACAGCTCGCGTCAGGTACACCTTAGTTCTCAAAGTGACATCTTTGCCAATTTTTAACACATTAATGAGACGTCTTTTGCAGTAAATATGCCCAATGTAATATGTGGTTTGATTTCTTGAATGCTGCTTTCATAAGTGTTGATTGTGGATACAAGTAAAATGAAATCCTTGACATCTTCAGTCTTTTCTCCAATGATCATGATGCTGCTTACTGGTCTAGTTGTGGGGATTTTTATTTTATGCAGAGGTATAATCCATATTAAAGGTTATACTCTGAGCTTCATCAGTAATTGCTTTAAGTCCTCTTGACATTCAGCAAGCAAGGTTGTATCATTTGTTGATTTCAGGTTGTCAATGAGTCATCCTTCAATCCTGTCCTGTATTCTTACTCATATAATCTAGCTTCTCAAATTATTTGCTAAGCATACAGATTGAAAAGTATGGCGAATAAGTAAGGTGAGAAAAAGCACACCTTTCCTGATTTTAAACCTAAAATAATTTAAAAGTCTAAAAACAGCAAAATGTTTTAGGAATTATGATAAACCACTCAGAATAAAAGTTAGTTATTATAAATGGTAGTTTAAAGACTATATACCAAAAGGAAATATTTGCTAAAACTTTAAACAAGAAATGTATTAAATTTTTGGTAAATTGTGATCATGACTTCACAATCCTCTAATATCAAAATTATGTGTCTAATAGTATATATATATTTGCATTAATGACCCAAATCGAAACCAAACCCATTGCTGTTGAATTGACTATGGTTCATAACAACTCTACATGCAGAACAGAACTGCCTCATGGGGTTTCCAAGTCTGTACATATTTACAGAAGCAGACTGCTATATCTTTCTCCCATGGGACAGTTAGTGGATTTGAACCTCTGACCTTTCAGTTAGCAGTGCTTGACTAACATAAATTATTTAAAATCTAAAAGTACTCCTATTCCAATAATAAAGTCTTAGGGTATAAAAGCCCCAAATTGGAAAAGAAGACAAAAGTCCAAAAGAAACTTACATTTCCAGCTGTATTCATGACTGACTTGATTTCCCTTTTGCATGCTTTCAGGGACTTCATTTGTATATAAGCTCTTACTTTATACTGTCAAAGGAAAATGTTAGTATGTAAGAAATATGGTGAATTTATATATGCTGAAGAATTTTACTTTATAGTTAAAGAAATTAAACACAGACTCCTGCTTACAATATAGTTATTGCAGTTATTGGAAAAAGCCAGTTTAAAATTATCTTAAATATCCTATTTTAACTACTTGTGGGATATATTCTATAAAGAACTAAAAATATGTCAGAATAAAATTTATACTTACATTCCAAGCAAAATTCTATGAAATCTTTTCTGCCAATGGCTAAATGACAGTGAAATTTTTAATTCTATAAACTAATTTTTAGTCAATATATTAATCAGGTTATTCCTCTCAACCATCTACAGAGCAATTAAAAGAAATTATAGTACATTATTATCTTATACAAAATCTATTTAGAAGGGTAAATGTGCTGGTAAACAACATCACTTCAAAGCCAATACATATATATGCTTTGCGTAATTTACAGCTGGCCCTCTGTATTCGTGGAATCCATGTCCACATATTCAACTAATATTGGGATAGGGCAGGCTCCAAGAAGGCAATTAAGTTATCAAAGCAATCCTTCAAAGGCTAAGCAAGACCATAAACTGATAGTTACACAGCATTCATAGGTATTGTAAGTATTACAAGTATCTGGAGATGATTTAAACACACAGATACATGTGCTTGGTTACACGCAAATACTACATCATCTATATAAGAGACTTGAGCATCCATAAATCTGGGGATATGTGGAGATCCTGGAACCAAATCCCAATTTATAGTGAGGGGTGACTACACTCTTTTCCATGATCTATGACATCGAGTCCTCATTTACAATAAGAAAACATGGGAGGTGTAACCTCCCTTTAAAATTTACCCTACCTGATGTATCTTTGATTTTGCAGCTTCTATTAGAGCTCCACTCTCAGCTTTATGATTAGATCCATCTTTGTTGGTGTTATTGCCAGTCTGTGATGAAACAAAATTGGCCACATTTAAATATTTTAAATTAGAATTTAAATCAGTGATTTCCAAATGAGCTAATCTCTATCACTTAGTAAGAATGTTCACAATTCAGAATTCCAGATCCTACTTCCAGAGAATCAGGCTCAGTCGTCTGGAGTGTGTGACAGGAAATGCTACTTAAGAGAAACTCACAGCTGTGCAGAGTGACGGAGCAGGTTTTGAAAGTATAGATATTACTTGAGCAATGATTTTTCAAAAACTCAAATCATTCATTTTCTTCTTAAAAATGATGATATGCTGCTGCTGTTGTTAAGTACCTTTGAGTTGGTTCAGACTCATTGCAACTCCAGGTAGGATTTCCAAGGAGCAGCTGGTGGGTTTGACTACTAACCAACCTTGTGGTTAGTAGTTCTGTGCTTATCCTACCTCATTACACCAGCGCTTCTTTGCTGGTATAAATGCTACCAATAAGTAGAAAAAGTTCTTCATGATATGGCCTAGCTTTATTCGATCTCACAGGTACTATCCCGTAACACTCCCAGCACACCAAATCTCACACCTTTAGGCTTTGCTGGTGTTAAGGACAGGCAAATGATCCTGGGCCATGTAAGTAGAAAAAGTTCTTCATGATATGGCCTAGCTTTATTCTATCTCACAGGTACTATCCCGTAACACTCCCAGCACACCAAATCTCACACCTTTAGGCTTTGCTGGTGTTAAGGACAGGCAAATGATCCTGGGCCATGCTCTCCTTTTTATGTCTGTCAAAATCTTACCGCCCTTCAAAGTTCAATTCAAACTTCTAAGTTCCTCTAAAGCACTCTTTTATCTCCCTCTCCTCCCTGATCATGAACAGACGATGCTCAATCTGTCTCCTCCACATACCTATCCTTTCCTTCAAAGATTTGTTTCCCTTTTTGTCATCTTAATAACATGGAAAGCAACCAAGAGTCTGTTGAATTGATTTATATTTCATCAAATAGAGTAAGTACAGAGAGTACAAACAAGACGGCGGATAGGACAGACGTGCAGTGAGGAACTCCATCAGTAACAAATCAGTATACCGGACCAAACAGGCTCAGGGGATGGTTCCAGAACTCTGAACCTTATATAAAATAATATTTAGAAAGTAGGAAGGCTTACAGCCAGTGAAATTGGTAGCAGAAACAAGAAATCTAGTGCTTTCTAATCCAAGACACTCAGCTGATCCCTAAGCAGCCATCTTAGGCAAGACCAAATGGAGGAAGGATCAGAGCAGCCATGGACGCCTGACAGAACTGCGGAAATAAAGGTGCGGGCATTCTTTTTTTGGTACCTGTTCATTGGTCTCTCACTGTCTGCGCACCTCCATTCTGGTGACTAGAGGGGGTGCCTGAGTGAGAGGACATCCCACCCCCACCCCTGGAGGGTTCTATTGCACATGTGCACAGATCTTGTCAAAATTTAAAGGGACAGTTTCCATGTACATCCAAACAGCAGTATAAAATGGCCACAGCTGGCTTTGAACAGTTTATCACTAAGAAAAAGGCCTGAATAGGGGTTGCAGAGCAGGACAGGCAGAATAAAATGGAAACAGGCCAAAAATTAAATCCTAAGTTACGTTATAACGACCAACAGTGGCATCTTGAAATTTCTCAGGAAGAAGAATGAAGACAGAATCCCATCTCCTGATCACATCTACCTGGAGGCAATGAGAAAGCATAAAAAAATACCAAAACGCACACCATTTTAAGGATTAAGGCCACAGCTAACTACTGAATATGCCCAAGAAACAGAAAGAGATGATCATATCTGCACATGTCTAGAAATGAGATAAATTAACTGAGACAAATGAGCTGGAGGTAGACCTCCACTGCATACTGAAAGGAGGGCAGGCTTTAGAAATGCCTGAGAAGGAATTCAGAAAAATTATTCTTAAATGTATCAAAACACTTTATGATGGAGTTGAGAAAAATAAGGAAGAAGTCAGGAAAATGCTACAGGAACAATCAAATAAGATAGATACAGCATTGGAAACAATTCAAAACCTACAGAAAGAGTTCCAAATAATTCATAACAGACTATCAGAAATGA